TTCATATTTGACAATACAGTTCAAAGGTTTTCTTTTGTGACCAGGATGGGGTAGAGTGTGTCAAAATCTGTAAGGCCGCAGGCATGGCATCCCCTATGAATCTCTCTGTCTTTTGTGTCTAACTGCACATCCTCTTGTAGGAGGGGCAGCACTCTGGCTATAATGCTGCACCTGCTGTCTTGCAGATTTTGATTTCCCTTTGCAAATCTTTTTTTTTTAATAATTTTTTTTATTTTCCATTTATTCAACATATACAACAAAATTCACTTTACAAAATAACCATGACCATAACCATAGGTGCCACTTGCTCCTTCCCCCCAAGCTGCACCCACCCTCTCTAATACCTTCCCTACTTCCCTCCTCTTTCTCTCCTCCCCTCCTACTCTCTTCCCCTCCCCTTCTCCTCTTACCATCCTACTTCCTCCCTTCACCTTCCTCCCCTCTCATCCCTCTCAAATACAGGAATACAGCGTAGGGGAAGTGCCCAAGCAGCACCTCTCTCGTAAATTACCATATCTATATTATCCTATTCTACCTATTTACCCACCCACTCACCCAACCACCCACCCTCAGCCCCCCCTCACTTCCCAGAGCAGAGTACAGGGTTATTAATAACAAAATTAACAATATACAATAAAAAAAAGAAAAAAGGAAAAAAATCATACTTAGCCCTTAACTCCCCCTAAATTACATCATCATAAACAAGTCTCTTATACAACATTTACTATAAAATTTACTCATAAAATAAATGAAACTTTGTAGTCCCGTACTTCTTCTGAATATAATCTATCCATCTTCTCCATACAATAATATATCTTTCTTGTGTATGATCCTTTAAATCCTTTGCAAACCTTTTTGAATTGTGTAGCTGTAGCGATTGCCTTGTAATTAAGCACAAATAGAGGGATTGTACAGTAAGTTCTCGACTTACAGTGGTTCACTTAGTGACCATTCAGAGTTACAACAGAACTGAAAAAAGTGACTTATGGCCGCTTTTCACAGTCACAGCCTTTGTAGCCTCCCCACAATCACGTGATCAAAATTCAGATTCATATTTATGACGGTTGCAGTCTCCCAAGATCACATGATCCCCTTTTGCAACCTTCTGACAAGCAAAGTCTATGGGGATGCCAGATTCACTTAATCACCAGGTTACCAACCTAACTGCAGTGATTCACTGAACAACTGAGACAAGAAAGGTTGTAAAACGGGGCAAAACTCTCTGAAGTGTCTCACTTAACAACATAAATTTTGGGCTTCATTGTGGTTGTAAGTCGAAGACTACCTGTAGTTAAATGTTTTTGTCATTCAGGAAAGCAGGTCTTCAAAACAATGAGCTGCACAAAGATACACTTTTGCGTGCGGGATCCGTTGCTATCATTAGAACCTTTACCCTGCCAAGAATATTTTGCACTATATAAGGGGGGAAAAATAGGTGCAAAAATTGGACTATCCTTAGTTATGTTGTGCCCGTCATCCAGGCAACAGAGGGATGAGGGTTCTTAATGCCATACAAGTCAGGATGTGCTTCGCCTCAATTTTGGCTTCATAGTGGAGAGAGATTCTGTGCTTTAGAGTGATATCTGAACCAGGAGAAACAAGAGTGGGCTGTGAAGATTCCAGAATGAAAGTCCTTTCTGTGTTCCACTGGGAAACCATCGACCGCAGGAGGAAGGGCTCCCAGATAATGTGCTAGGACTTTTGAAAAGCAACAGGTTATAAGGATAAGAACTCACTGATGTGGATGATCTGGGGTAGATTTGCTCTGCATCACCCTTTGGCTGGATTCATGTAGCAGATAGCTTATTTAAGCATGGTTTATAGAGTTATGCCTATGTTCCTACAAATATGTTAAGCCCAAACTAAAGAACCACACTGAGAGCTTATGCACTGGAGACAAATTCCTTGTGTATCCAATCGCACTTGGCCAATAATGCTATTCCATTCCATTCAATTCCCTTTCTATAATCTCTTCTCCTCTCCTCCATTCCATTCCATTCCCTATTCCATTCTCTATTCCATAATCTCCTCCTCTCCTCTCCTCTCCTCCATTCCCTGTTCCATTCCCTATTGCATTCTCTATTCCATAATCTCCTCTCTTCCATTCCATTACATTCCCTATTCCATTCCCTATTCCATTCTCTATTCCATTCCCTATTCCATTCTCTATTCCATAATCTCCTCTCTTCCATTCCATTCCATTCCCTATTCCATTCCCTATTCCATTCTCTATTCCATAATCTCCTCTCCATTCCATTCCATTCCATTCCATTCCTTTCCTTTCCATTCCCTATTCTATAATCTCCTCCTCTCCTCTCCTCTCCTCTCCTCTCCTCTCCTCTCCTCTCCTCTCCTCTCCTCTCCTCTCCTCTCCTCTCCTCTCCTCTCTTCTCCTCTCCTTCATTCCATTCTCTAAAGAAAGTACACAGTGCTTGATGTCCATGACTGGCAGGGGAATTCTGGGACTTGAAGTCCACAAGTCTTAAAGTTGCTAAGGTTAGACAGCCCTGCTTTAGGGCATTAAACCCAGATTCTTATCCGACCTTCATCTCTCACTGGACTTCAATCCCCATCTGGCTTATCAAGCATTGATCTGACAGCCCTGTTGCAGAGTTTAAACCCCAGGGTCCTGCTCTGTAGGGCATTAAGTGCATCTTTGTGTAATTAGCCTGATGATTTGCATTGACTGGAAGTGACTGCTAAATGTCAAATTTTGCAGCAGGAAGGAAGTGCTCTTTATGTGTGTTGGGCGGGTTAACCCTTTCTTCCCCATGCTTGGTTCTAAGATCCTTCCTTTGAAGCTCCTATTAGTGGGAGTGGAAATGTCCACTGAGGCAATGTGAAATTTTTACCATGCAGTTTCGGTAAAGATCTTTTGAAGGTTTTATGCTCTCTCTCCCACATTGGTTGCGATTCCATTCTTAGCCCGGTCTGTCTGGGCTGCTAATGCTTACGTTTTTCAAACCACCTGTAAAACGCAAATGTGCATTTACCCATTACATCTTGCTTTGCGTTTTTCAGGCTGCTTTAAAAGGGTGCCTGGTAGCTTGAGTGTGCAAAGGCGGTGGAAAGTAACCACAGAGGATGATTAATTATGACAGATAGAGAAAAAAAAAAGTAGGTCTGTGAAAAAGGATTGTTTAAATAATAAATGGCAGGGCTGAGCATTTTTTTGATTTCTTTCTCTGCCTTCGCAAACAGGATTGTTAATGTTTTTTTTTTTCCCTGGAACGTCATGGAAAAATAGGAACATTTTAGATGGTTTGGTGGTATTCATAGAGGTCTCCCTTCAGTGGATGTATGCACGAGACAGCAACTTGTAGTATTTTTATATCCAGGTAGTCCTCGAATTGCAACTGTTCGTTCAGCAACCGAAGTTACAATGATACTGAAAAAAACTGACTTATTGCCAGTTGTCACACTTATGACCATCACAAGCATCCCTACGGTCACATGATCAGAATTGGGGAGCTTGGCAACTGGCAGGTACTTATGATGGTTGCAGCAGTTTTTTGTTCTTTCCAGATGGCTTCTGAGAAGCGAAATTAATAAGGAAGCCAGATTCGCTTAATGTCTGTCAGAATTCACTCAACAACTGCAGTGGTTTGTTTAACAACTATGACAAAAAAAGGTCATAAAATTGGACACGACTTGCTTAACAATGGCTTTGCTTAGCATTAGGAATTCTGCTCTCAACTGCTCTCAGAGGGCTACCTCTGTGTATAAAATAAACAAAAGTAGCTCCTTGTGCTAATGTCCCGAAGGTGCTTTTTCACGAGGCAAATGGACTTCCTTGTTTTTCTTTGAAGACGTTTCGCTTCTCACCCAAGAAACTTCTTCAATTCTGACTGGAGTGGTAGGGAATGGAAGGATTTATACTCCTTGCAGACAGCTGGTCATTTGCATTCTTTTAGAGCAGTGGTTCTCAACCTGTGAGTTGGGACCCCATTTGGGGTCGAATGACCATTTCATGGGGGTCGCCAAACAACGCAGTCTGCCATTTCCCCCCCCCCCCTTTCCTTAGCTGTGCTACTCCCTTTTATTCTATTGGCTTTTGAAAGCCAATAGAATAGACTCTCTTGAATAGAGTCTAATTCTATTGGCTTTCAAAAGCCAATAGGAATTGTCCAGGCTGTCTCTGACCTGCTGAGCCCGCCAAAAAACCCATTCTGCAAACGGTGCTGCACCAGTTGACTTACGACCGGTTGAGTAGTCCTCGAGTTACGACCGGTTGGGGGTCGCGGCATTAAAAAGGTTGAGAACCACTGTTTTAGAGAGTCATTGAGGCCACTTGGAGGTTTATCTGTGTCCTCAGAGTCACCTGAGTAGTGCAAATAGATGTGGAGACTTCTTGGAACTGTTGAAAGGACTGTGTTGTAGACTGGAGATAGATGATGCCATATCTCTTCCCCCTCTATTGAGAGAGGGCTGTTCAGTTTTGACATAGATGGTCTCTTTGACCCCTCTTTCAAACCAGTGGTCCACTCTGTCCAGAATGTAGACTTTGGTGTCTTCGAAAGAGGGGCTTTTGTCTCTTCTTGTAATGGCTGCAGAAGAGCCGTGAGATGAAAATCAGTTTGATGTGAATCAATTCAGATAAATAAATAGGAGTGTGATCCCCACGATCAGATGATTGCTATTTGTGATTTGTCCCCGCCGGCTTCTGACAAAGCCAATGGGGAAGCGGCAGGGAAAGTTACAAGTCATGGTCATGTGATGTTTCGCTTAACGTCCACTGCCAATTTGCTTAACGTCTGTGGCAAAAAGCATCATGCGAAGAGGTGTGGTCACATGATGCTTCACTTATCAATCACAACCCTTCACAGATTTTCTAGTTCCTATTGTAGTTGTACATTTGGGATCTTCAAACTTGGCCCTTTTATGACTTGTTTGAAGACCCCGGATGTACATCAAGGGCTACCTGTATGGTTATGTGCACAAATAGTAACATAATTACTGTGTCCATTAATCATGTGTGTTTTTTTTAAAATCTTTTTTAGCTTTTCTGGGAGAAGAGGCTTCAAGGCTTAAGTGCCTCAGATGTCAGTGAGCAAATCATAAAATCCATGGAGCTTCCCAAAGGCCTTCAAGGTAACTTTGAGGTTTTAATGGAGCCCTCTGAATGGATGGATTTAGGGGTAATCCATGAACCAAAGTGCAGGAAGTCTGTTCCCACATCCTGGTTGGGGAATGCTGGGAGTTGAAGTCCACACATCTTAAAAGTTGCCAGGTTTGAAAAACACTATGCTGACAGACTACAGGTAGTCCTCAATTTATGACAGTTCATTTAGTGACCATTCGAAGTTACAATGGCACTTACGACCATTTTCCACACTTACGACCATTGCAGCATCCCCGTGGTCACATGATCAAAATCCAGACGCTTGGCAACGGATTCATATTTATGACAGTTGTGGGGTTCCAGGGTCACGTGATCCCCTTTTGTGACTTTCTGGTAAGCAAAGTCAACGGGGAGGCCAGATTCACTTATCAACCCTGTTACTAACTTAACACTTGCAGTGATTCACTTAACAACTGTGACAAGAAAGGTCGCAAAATGTGGCAAAACTCACTTAGCAACAGGCATTTTGGGTGTCATTATGCTTGTAAATCCAGGATTTGCTAAGTTTTGTCTTGGGGACAGAGATCTTATTTGGCATTTTTGATAGCAAATCCATCCCTCTGAATATGCTGAGTTTTAATGAGCCAACTTTGCATTCCCTGTCTAGGAGTGGGCCCAGGGAACAACGATGACACCCTCTTGTCGGCTGTGGCCAGCGCATTGCACACAAGTTCTGCTCCCATCACAGGACAACTGTCTGCTGCCGTGGAAAAAAACCCCGCTGTGTGGTTAAACACATCCCAGCCCCTCTGCAAAGCCTTCATCGTTACGGATGAAGATATTAGGTGAGTACTTCACAGACTGGGTTCCTGCAACATGCTGGGCTGTTTGGAGACCTGCAGAGTCAACCTTGGCAACTTAAGACTTGTGGACTTCATAATCCAAGTTTCATCCCAGTTAGCCCATTTCTCGAGTTCTTTCTAATCCGTGTCCCTCCAGATGTCTTCACCAAAAATCTTGAGAATTGCATCACAATATGTCTGGATGGTGCCTTTGTAGTGTCAGAGAAATGTGCTCTCTGTTTTCTGTGGGTATCTATTTTTAACAAAATAAGAAAGCCCTTCCTTCCTTCCTTCCTTCCTTCCTTCCTTCCTTCCTTCCTTCCTTCCTTCCTTACTTCCTTCCTTCCTTCCTTCCTTCCTTCCTTCCTTCCTTCCTTCCTTCCTCCCTTCCTCCCTCCCTCCCTCCCTCCCTCCCAGCTTTTGCTGACACAACATTCACTTGTATGGCTCATAAATAAAGAAGTAAATCAACTGAGCATGCTGTAGGAGTTATGAGAGGGCATATTCCCAATCTTGCACCACTAAGTCCAACTTGATTATGCTTGCATTTTTCTTTTTAAATGCTCCATTTACCTCCAGCTTTTAAGATTCAGATCATCTTTTATTACCGCTATATGTGATTGATTTCCTGCTGATCTCATAGTAAGTGCTGCAAAAAATGTGCTTATGATTTGGTTAGGTTATATAGCTCCGTTTTTCTCTATTTTCAAAATACCGATACTCAGGCTTTGGATAGTTATTAATCTCAGTGTTGAAATTACTCTTAAGTGCATGTTTAAATACTAGCCTTTGAGGTTTCCAAACTATGAGATGCTGGGTTTGGATAAACAACCACAGTGCTTATTAGGAAAAAAAAGTGAGTAATACAACACCCCCCTTCCCCCAAGTGTTTGACATTTTGAGTTTAATACATAGCAAAGAAAGAAAAGGATAGAAATTTTCACTCAGACGTTTTATTAAAATTAATTACAATCTGATATGGAAAGAGTCAACTTCTGGTAAACATTATTTTGGAAGTAAACAGACAGCCGTATTCACCCTCAAAATTGACCCAATCAGAACTGTGGTTTGCATATCTTATGGAAACAGAACCTAGCCAGACACATGAATCCTCAGAGAGAACTAAAGGTATGCCAGGGCCTTGAATTTGCTAGCAATTCCATATATATTTTTCTTGTGTCACTTTATTTCTGTTGTTAGAGTTGGAGATTATCAACATTTGAAGGGGATCAAGCACATGATAACTGTTTTCCAGTCCTTGAGGGGCTGCCACAGAGAAGAGGGCATTGACTTATTCTCCAAAGCATCAGAGGGCAGGACAAAAATTAATGGGTGGAAGCTTGTTAAGGAGAGATCCAACTTAGAAGTAAGGAGAAATTTTCTGACAATGAGAACAATTAATGGAACAGGTTGTGGGTGCTCCATCACTGGTGGTTTTCAAGAAGAGACTGGACAGCCATTTGATTGAGATGGTATAAGGTCTCCTGCCTTGAGCAGGGGTTGGGCTAGAAGACCTCTAAGGTCCCTTCCATCCATTTCGTTCTATCTTCTATGGCAGTGGTTCTCAACCTTTTTAATGCCGCGACCCCCAACCGGTCGTAAGTCGAGGACTACTCAACCAGTCGTAAGTCGACGACTACTCAACTGGTGCAGCACCGTTTGCAGAATGGGACTTTTGGCGGGCTCAGCAGGGCAGAGACAGCCTGGACAATTCCTATTGGCTTTTGAAAGCCAATAGAATTAGACTCTATTCAAGAGAGTCTATTCTATTGGCTTTCAAAAGCCAATAGAATAAAAGGGAGTAGCACAGCTAAGAAAAAGGGGGGAAAAATAGCGGATTGTGTTGTTTGGCGACCCCCGTGAAATGGTCGTTCGACCCCAAATGGGGTCCCGACCCACAGGTTGAGAACCACTGTTCTACGGAGAGACACTGTCAAAAGAATGGAACAACTGGGAACAATGAACTTCTCTTAGTTTGTTAGTAGGTTTTCTGGCTTCACAATTTTTTTTAGCTTTTAATTTGTTCCTCCTCCAGGGACCTCTGCTTTTCAGCCAAAACTGATGCTCTGCAGTAGTTGATGATTCAAATCCACACCAAGTTATCATTAAGTGTTAAGCTGCTGAGACATTCCAGATTTGGTCTTCTTCTTATCTTTGTACTTGTGATATCAAGTTGTAGGAGAGAAACACCAGGTTTCGTTTCTGTATTGGAGGTGGTAGTTTCAGTTTTTCAGACCACTGTGAAATAATCATAGTGATAGTATAATAATCATAGTGATAGTATAATAATCATAATAAGCCTTTCAGACTTTAAAATACATTTTTGGTGATTTTTCCCTCCCTGGAAAAAATGATCAGAAGCCCTGCATTGCACCACAACTGCAATGTGAAGTTACACAACTGACACTGGAATTAGTAGTCATGGGCTGCTATTTTTCCAAAGCTGGTAACAACTGGCTGATTTATTTTTGCAAATTAAAGTTGGGTGGGTCAAATCAGAGGTATGGACTTCAACTCCCAGAATTCCCCAGCCAGCATTGGAACCTCACTGGGTTAAATGAATCTCAGTAAGATAGCTACAAAAAACTTGTTAAATATTGAGCAGTTTTGGAAATGTTTGAACTCAAGATAAAGGGCGCAGCTACATGATCTCCAATATCCCATCCCCTCTCTGCTTCTTTTTATTTCCCCTTACTTTGGGCTAAGCATGTGTGAGCTTCACCATATCCTGAGCAATGTAATATAAGTGTAATAGTTAACACAGCATGGGTTTCCCCCCATTGTTATTTTTGCCTCCAGCAGAAGACTATCGACTCATAAAATAAAGTCTCTAAAAGCTCTTTAAAAAAGCATTTCACATATCCTGCATTCGCCAGCAGAGGGCACTCTAAAACCATAGTAAAAATACTGTTTCATCCACCTTTTTAGTTATTAAGACTTGTCTGTTTTAGAAAGTCCGTATCTGCTTCTCATTTCCAGCCCCCCCCCCATACCATATTCATTTTTTTAAAGTATACCGGCATGAATAGTTGATTCATTTGCATAGAGGGGGATCTTTTTTCCCCCACACAGTTCTGCTTCTGCAAATTAGGACTGGAAATCAAGCTGAACACCTTAATGGACAAATCATTTGCTTCAGGCGCAGGACTCTTATTTAACTTGTAATGATGCTTTTTCACATGACAGTAATTTGTTGAGTGGAAGATGGCTGCTGTCTAGGTTTTTTTTTAAACAGTTGTATTCCTGACTCTTATAAAATCTATAAGAGAAAAGTAACCTGATGTCTGTTGTGGGGATCCTCCTTTGATGCTTCCTCAAAAGATCTGCCACTCTGTTCTTACTCAGAGGAAACTGATATGGTTCCTTTGGATTGATAGTCCTTTCATCTCCATCCTCTGCACTGCTGACCCTGTCTTTAAGTTCTGGATGTCACATTTTAAAATTAATTCAGGCAAACTGAAATGGGTGTAAAGAAAGGCACAAGGAATAACAGAATAACAGAGTTGGAAGGGACATTGGACATAGTCCAACCCCCTGCTCAAGCAGGAGATCCTATACCATTCCATACAAGTGACTCTTCAGTCACTTCTTAAAAGCCTCCAGTGATGGAGCACCACAACTTCTGAAGGCCGTTCCACTAGCTGATTGCTCTCAGTGTTAGGGAATTTCTCCTTAGTTCTAGGTTATTTCTCTCCTTGATTAGTTTCCATCAATTGGTTCTTGTCCTGCCTTCAGGTGCTTTGGAGAATAGTTGATCCCCCCTTTATTGTAGCCCCTTAGATATTGGAACACTGCTATCATGTCATTCCTAGTCCTTTTCACTAGACCAGACAAATCCAATTCCTGAAATTGTTCTTCATATGTTTTAGCCTCCAGCTCCCTAATCATCTTTGTTGCTCTTTTCTGCACTCTTTCCAGAGTCTCTACATCTTTCTTATAATACGGTGACCAAAACTGGATGCATATTGTAAGTGTGGTCTTACTAAGGTTTTTGTTGTTGTTGTTAATTGCGAAATCGTGTCCGACCCATCGCGACCCCATGGACAACGTTCCTCCAGGTCTTCCTGTCCTCTACCATCTTCTGGAGTCCATTTAAGTTCACACCTACTTCTTCAGTGACTCCATCCAGCCATCTCATTCTCTGTCGTCCCCTTCTTCTATTGCCCTCAATCTTTCCCAGCATTAGGCCCTTCTCCAGTGAGTCCTTCCTTCTCATTAGGTGGCCAAAGTATTTGAGTTTCAACTTCAGGATCTGGCCTTCTAAAGAGCAGTCGGGGTTGATCTCTTCTAGGACTGACCGGTTTGGATGCCTTGCAGTCCAAGGGACTTGCAGGAGTCTTCTCCAGCACCATAGTTCAAAGGCCACTAAGGCTTTATAAAGCAGTATTAACACATCACGTGATCTTGATTCTGTCCCCCTGTTAATGCAACCTAGGATTATCAGCATAGGAAAACACAAGTGGAGTGAATAGAGATTGAACAAACTGGTTAACCTTGAAAAGAGACAGTTGAAAGGATATCACAGAAACAGCAATCAAGATCCTGAAAAGCTGAATACAAAACAAGGGTTTTGAGTTACAGAGAGGCGAATTCTGGTTGTCTGTCAGAAAAAAATATTTTAATAGTAAAAAGTGGGCTGACATTAAAACCTAGAAAAATGATGGGCTCTCCTTTTCTGGCATTGTCCGGCATTTGTTAGAGATGTTTTAATTTAGATTCTTGAACAAAGGGATTTAATGGCCTAAATGGGGGCATTGTGCTTCTATAAAACACATTTTGCCACAGCTCTCAAAATCTGAAGCCAGAACTGTTGGACTCTTCAGAAAAAAAACCCCTTTGTTATTTGAAATGTCTCTTGGACATGGGAAAAAAAATGGGTTTCATCTAGAAAGAAACAACAGCAGAAGAACTTCTGGGAGAAGGAAAAGGAAGCGAATGAGAAAGATGGGAGGGAGAAGAATCAGAAAAGGAGAAGAGAAAGAAAAAGGAGAAAGAAAGAATAACAGGGAAGGGACCTTGGAGGTTGAGTTATTCCCTCAGAAAAGAAAACCAGCCCAGAAGTAATGGAGATAACCTCAGTAAGGGAAAGGATTGCCTCAGCATCTTCAATTAAGCTGATATTGCAGACTTTGGACCTCAAAGGACAAATCTGTACTGCCAAAATGGCTTATCTGGTTAGTTGGAGGTATACTTTGATTTAATAGTTGAACAGACTGATATTTCAAAGCGCTGTTCATAGGAGGTCAAAGGGGTGTCTGTGAATAATTTGATATTTCCTCCTTCCCCTCACACGGGGTCTATCCTATGTTTGCCTAGTGATACTTATAACCATTTATCTGATCCCTGCCTTTCCACAAAAAGAGCTAACAATTACATCAGAACAGGGGTGTCAAACTGGCAGCTAGAGTGCCGGATGAGTCACGCACAGGCCATGCCCACCCCGGCTCCGCAAAGGCAAAAAACTTCTTGATGTGTCATGATACAGCACGTGATGCGATCGAGTTTGTCACCTGTGCACTAGAAGGCAGAACCTTGAAAAGAACTTTGACATTCTAGTTGCTTAAAGACTGGTGATGTTTTCCAGAGAAATTTAGCACAAGGAAAAAGATTGGAGGGAAGAAATGAATGGGGAAGGAAAATTGAGAGATGGATTGAGAAGTGAAATCAAGCTAACCATGCATCTGTGGAAAAAGACAATGTTCTCCTGGTCTGAAGATGCTGCTGGATGTTCAGCTGCAGAAAGACTCTAATGGACCATACTCGGTGGGAATCCTGTGTGTTTGCTTATGGTTTGGTCCTCTAAGATCAGAGGTAGCAGAGAATGAGCAACATCACTTAAAGGAGCCTGGATCCAGAGTTGTGCATTGTCTATGCTGTGCATTGTCTGCATTTACTAACTTTAATCTTGGGCTATACATTTCAGAGGGTGGTCAGGAGTGGTCATTCATTTTCTCTCTTTAGCTTCCTCTTCTGACTTCTAACACACCCTTACTCCAAAGTTAGACAGCCCATTGTCAGCCATCCCAACTTGGCTAGCTAGCAAAGTAAGATTCTTGAGGCCATGGCTACAAAGAACATCCCTTACTGAGCAAATGGGTTACAGCGTAGCAAAGCCAAATCTAAAGATTCACGCCCAAAACTTCTGGTTCAGTTTTCTGTTTCTCCTCCCTCCCCCTTTAGTTATCTTTTGCTGTCCAATTACTTTCAAACAAATTGTTTTGGTCACAGTCTCTGGCTTGGTGGGCAAGATGGTGTTGCATTGCATGATATGATTTTGCAACTGCTGGCGGCTCTCATGGGATGGCAGGAGGAATGGGTTTGATTACCCTGAAGCTAGCCCTCTTTTATCCCCCCCCCATTTTTGATGGCAGACTGGCATGTAGCAAAGCCTCGCTGCAGCAGCATGGCAGTCCTGACAATTACATCATGCATCGAATAGCTTTTTATCCAGATCCTCAGCTTTGTCCTTTATAGAAATATTTTTGCATTGCCTGAATGTTGCTTAAAAATAAATCTCATTCATCAGCTTTGACACTTTCTGCCCCCCCCAACACTACTAAAATATGCCTCTGTGTGATATGCCATATGGAAAGATAAAAATAAAAGTTCTGTAAACAGCAATGTATAGCACTTATATTTATTAATCATTTTTTTTGTTTATTTGTTTTACCAACTACACTTACAGTCTTGGCATACAAATAATCCAAGTTGTTGTTTTTGTAATAAGCCAAGAAAAATAAATCTTAGTAATAAGCTTACTTTTTCAGAGGTTTTACCAGTGTATAAGGAGCAAAGTGGAAAAGGCCAGCGTATAGCAGAATTCAATATGTGGCTAAAGGAGTGGTGTAAAGGGGAAGGCTTTGGTTATATTAGTCACGATGTATGTAGCTGGTCCAATGAAAAAATGTACAAAAGAAATGGTTTGCATCCATCAAAGAATTAAATTAACTAACATTTAGATGTGTGGATTCATCTAAATCCGATTCTTTCCATGCCTTTCTTTTCGTAGATGTCCACTCTAAAGTTTAATCTCCAAAACTTTAATTTATAAATAAAACCAAGAGGTTTTTTTTTTTGCTCCTTTTAAGTAGTACAGGTTGCCCTTGGTTAATGATTCTAATTGGGATTGGAAACCCTGTCATTAAGTAACATGGTTGGAAGTTGAGAAATCATGTGACCATGTGCTTAGTGATCAAAGTTCTTGCAGTCATGGTTGCCATCATTAAGTGAGACTGTCATATATTCCAAAAGTGAATTCCCTTCCCTTCCCTTCTTCTAGTCCAGTGGTTCTCAACCTTTTTAATGCCGCGACCCCCAACCAGTCATAAGTCGAGGACTATTCAACCGATCGTAAGTCGAGGACTACTCAACTGGTGCAGCACCGTTTGCAGAATGGGACTTTTGGCGGGCTCAGCAGGGCAGAGACAGCCTGGACAATTCCTATTGGCTTTTGAAAGCCAATAGAATTAGACTCTTTTAAAGTCAATTAACTTTAAAAATACCAGAACTATCGCCAAAACTGAACATTTTAATAACAGAATAATCAGAGAAGCCATCGAGATAGAAAAATGCCCACACAGCATGAACAAACGAGATGATACCTCCTGCCTACCAGCCATTTGGAAACCCACCCTTATTGACAAACGACTCCCTAACACAAAGAATGACACCAGACTCACACTCACAAAAACCACACAGGATATCACCACCACACATCCATGCAAAAAGCAAACCCAAAGCCACACCGATGATGAGGCACGACCACAAACCAGAAGCCAGACCACAGCTGCATCATTAGCCACTTTAAACCCCTCCAATCCATACATGAAGCAAACTGACACCCACCATGAAGATGAGGCATGACCACGAAGCCAAAAAATAGCAAGGCAGCCAACCATCTTAAACCCCCCTGAAACTCAGACTAACCTGAGCACAACAAAGCCCCCACCCAAACAGAACACTCCCCCAGCCAATCAGAGCACAGCCAACCCCCCAGCCAATCAGAGCACAGCCAGCCCCCCAGCCAATCAGAGCACAGCCAAACCCCTAACCAATCAGAACACACCTCCACCCAATCAGAACACAGCCAAGCTCCCACCCAATCAGTTCATACCCCCACTGGCGGTTAAAAGGAAGAAACAGCTAAGACCACACATTGCTCCTCGAAGCACGAAGCTGAAAACACCAGCCTGAAGATGATGAATGGGACTTCGTCGAAACGTCGCCAAGACACTTCCAATTTTACGTGGGAGAAAACCCGAATAACCAAAGACCTACATATATATATATAATATATATAATACAGGGCAACCTGTACTACTTAAATATATTAATCACAGTTAATAGATTCTTCTTGATTAGAATTAAAGGGTGGGATTTTAAGAATCTGTTTAAATATGAGATGAGACATTGGATGAAGTGTATTTTTTTAAAATAATTTTTTATTTTTCCAAACTCTCCCCCATACATATACCATGATATTTATCAGATGTTAACATACATTCTTTTTACATTCATATATAAGATACTTTTGATAAAATGAAATAAATACATACACATGACTTTTGGTGTTGCTCACCCATTTCCCCTTTCACTGTATCCACATTCCTTCTTCTCTACCTTCTTTCTCCCTTTCTTGGATGAAGCGTATTTTTGTTGTAGTATTAGAAAAGACAATAAGCTATTGCAATTGTTTGTATTTGTTATGATGAGGGTGGACGTTGTTTATAATCATTTTTTTAGTATGTATGTTTTTTTCTTTTTGTACTTTTTAACTTTCTCTCATTCTATTCTTTTATATTTTTCTTAGCTTCTATTAGTTTTTTATCTTTGCAATTGTAAACTTTAATAAAATTACTATTAAAAAACCTGTAGCACAGCTCCAAAGTGGTTTTCTTCAGCTGTGCTAAATCTTCCCAAGGTTGCAGAGGCTATGTAGAAGGTGGAGACTTAAATGGGTGCATTGGGAATTCTCAGAACTTAAACATACCAGCTGATTGCAAATGGGCTTTTTAACTTCTAGAAAAACAATTACAGGATGATGTCTTTTTTCCTGGCGAAGAGGAGAAAAAAATGGTCCTTGAAAAGATGAGGCTAGAGCAAGGGTCTTCAAACTTGGCCCTTTTATGAGTTGTGGACTTCAACTCCCAGAATTCCTCAGCCAGCATGCCTGGCTAAGGAACTCTGGGAGTTGAAGTCCACAAGTCATAAAAGGGCCATGTTTGAAGACCCCTGGGCTAGAGCATCTATTGCACTCAACATTTCTTGCTCTTTTTCCGCTCTTTCTAACTGCTTTGATAGGAAGAGTAGATTTTAGTTTCAAATAAACATGGGAGTAGTTTTCGCACTGCTGCTGCAACCAGAGGCATTTTGTTTGATGTTGAGTGTTCTCTGTTACCTGAACGTTTCTGCAGAGAGTGATGTAAAGCATTGCTTTAAGTGTGATTTGACAAGTAAGAAAGATGTGTGTTTTAGCACATAGTACTTCCACAGCAGCATATTGAGGCTGGCTGGCTGACCATTTTTGCATTCCATGTGCAGCTTGAACCAAAAGCCCTTCCTTTACAGATTCTTGCATTACTGTATTCAACAGGAAGCAAGAGGAACGAGTGCAACAGGTACGGAAAAAACTGGAGGAGGCATTGATGGCAGACATCTTGTCCCGGACTATGGACCCAGCAGATGTGGATGAAGTTGAAATGGACAATGGAGAAGAGGCATAAGAATTAAATAATCAGGTATAGTCCAAGCTTGTGGAAAAAAGTGTAGTAAAATGATCTCTCTCTCTCTCTCTCACACACACATACATACCTCTCCTTCATGTATCCCTCCCTTCCTTCCTTCCTTCCTTCCTCCCTCTCTGATCTCCATTTCTCATATGGCCACCCACCTCACAAACAAGTGACTCTTGGGTAGCATACAACAAATTTTGAATTTCACATAGTGGGGAAGGACAAGGAATTAAACCATATTTCTGAGGCACTGCAAAATTCTGAGTTAGAAAAATCCCTCCTCATAATGCTTAGCAAACAATGCATTTGAAAAGGAACCCTAGACAGAAACAGTTATTTTTTTAAAACTGTACTCTGTATAACAGTTTAAAAATGAGACAGATCTTAGGGAATGCTTTATTGTAGTGCCTCAAGAGGATGGGGAAAAAAATAACATTATGATGTATGACGGACTCAGACAGATTCCTTTGACTAAGCTCCTATTTAGTCCAAAGCCTCCAGTATTTACAGACACTGTTGTCCGTAACAATGGCTACCAATTCTGAAGAATTCCCTTTGAGCTCTTCCCCAGCGCAGTCTATCTGCTCATTCACTTATTTATCTGCAGGCAGCACCTCATTTCTTGCACCAGACAAGAGGCAGATGGGACCCCCTTCCAATTTTTTTCCTGCCTCCTTCCAATTTCTGTAAGAAATAACAGGAACTTAAGCCAGTGACAGCTCAATCTTTCTTTGCGCATCCACTGAGTTCCGTTGGACTAATTTTCAGCTGAACAAGAAGAGAAGAAGGATGAGAAGTGGATTTTCTGTAGAAAATTGAGGCTCTTGGCAAGTTCAGTTAAACTATTATTACAGCCATCTTTAGATTTTGGAGTATATGGAAGCTTGTGTTAGGCTTTCTGGGATATGCTGGGCTATAGCTTTTGACTTGAAAGAACAATTATATATCATTTAAAACATCATTCATTCATTCTCTTTCCTCTCCATTTTTTACAGGTACTTTAAAAAGAGAAAGAGACTCCCAGATGAAAATTTCTGGAAATTGGAAGCGCTTTTATGTTTTCCGTTGGTCTTTTGTGATAGAAGAAGAGGACCTCTGCACATTTATATAGCTTTCTAATAGCATTAAAAACCAATGCCCTTTTTTGGCTCTTATTATTATTATTTTATTATCCTATTTTTGATGTACATATCTTGTTAAGAAAAGAAAGAAAAAAGGAAAAGAAAAAAAGAAAAAAAACCCTACTCTTTATTTTGTGTCTTACGACTTCAAAAGTCTCATTTTTATTTTATTTGTTTGGCGATGTCAAACAATTCCTGAAGACTGAAGCTGAGCTTTCAGTACCAAGTTGCAATCCTGTAGCAACTATCTGGTAAGCACTAAATAATTAGCATTTATTCTTTTTTATGTGTGTGTTTTTTGCAAAAATAGATCAGGAAAACAGATTGTTTCCCAATTTAAAAAAAAACAAAGAAAAATTGTGTCATGGTTTCTTGTACATATATTATATAAAAGATTTTTTTATACTGGAACTGAATGGAAAAAAAATCTATAAATTGACCCATCATCATTCTCTAAAGAGAAATAAATACTTTTATTACAATTTTTAGAATAATGTACTATAATTTAAGGCAAGGCCTTATCTCAATTACTGAGCATTAGGCAGAGATAATATTGTTCAGTGAGAGTAGTGAACACAGAATGTCGAAGCTGCTACAGCCTTTGTTAAGTTTATTGGGAAATTTATTTGCACTCTGACACAATTACGGAAGCACTTCAATGAGAGTGCAGTTTTCCTATATCTGATTTGGAGCCTCCATCCTCCTTTTTGTAAAATGGGGAAATCATGACCTACCTCACAGGGCTGTTGTGAGGATGAGCTTAATACAAAAAATGGAAAGTACTTTTTCAATGAAATGGTTTTCCCAAATAAATAAGACATGGATGCACAAAAAATGAATGATAATTATTACTTGTATGACAGTAAGTGACGTAGGATAGTCTTGCAGTTCAGTGGTGTTTATTCATCAAGGATGAAAAATTATATATTTCATTTTCAGTTAAAAGATGATAGTAATTAGACAGATGATAGATTTGATAGATATTCTTTAATACAGCCATTGAACAGATCACATGCAATAATAACAACAGGAAATTGTCTATATCACAAGGTAAACGCTGGATCCTGTCAGCTAAAGAATTTCAACTGGCAGGGTCCAAGAGAAGAGCCTTTTCTGTTGTGGACCTCACCTTCTGGAATATTCTCCCATCAGAGGTGTGATCCACACTCATACTCCTGGCCTTCTAGAGCCTAAAATCCTGGCTCTGCTCCTTGGTCTGGGGCTCCAACTGCTATATTGGGGGTGGCTGACAGGATAGAGAAAATTCTCAACCCAGGCTGCCCATCATCTTGGTTTTTAATTTATTTTTTAAACTTGTTATTCTAATTGTAATTATTTTTTTTAGCACTTTTAAACTTTTATTATATCATAAGTCACTTAGAATCATTGTATTATTGAGATGGAAGGCATATAAATTTAATCAATCAAAGGGAATGAAATGTCTAGATAAGACTGAATATCCATCTCCAGCCTGGCATCCTCCAGCTGTTTAAACCAATAACTCCTCAAATTCTCAACCAACTTGACCATGAATTTTAACATTCATAGAGGCACCATGTTGAGTATAATGAAAATGAATAGTAATGTTTCTATTTCACTGCAAGATAACCTTTTGAGGTCCATTCCTATGATGAGATAAAGTTAAGGATTTGCTTCTGATGGATAACATTGAGTGTCAGTAGATTCCTGGTGGAAAACAAAGCTAGATTCTCCTGAACATGCCTTTGGACTCCTAAATGAGCCTGTTTCTTCAGACATGGCCAAGGACATTGTTCAAATGCAGATATGGAAGAGTTGCAGATAAAATGGGATGAGGAATTTTTTCTCCTCAAGATGCAATGCACTTTAACTTTATCTTCTCATGTTAGCCAGACAACTTTAGAAAAGCTGCATGCTGTGTCCAGTTCTGGTCACTATGATACAAAAAAAAAGTTGAGACCCTAAAAAGGGTGCAGAAATGAGTAACAATGATGATTAGGGGACCAGAGATTAAGCCATATGATAAATGATTAAGGAAAATAGGTATGTCTAGTCCAGGGGTAGGCAACCTTGGCTCTTTTATGACTTGTGGACTTCAACTCTCAGAATTACGAGTCATAAAAGAGCCAAGGTTGCCTACCCCTGGTCTACCTGGTCTAGTCTAACAAAGAGAAGGACTTGGAGTGATATGTTAGTAATCTTCCAGTATTGAGGGGCTAACATAGACAAGAGGGGATCGACCTATTATCCAAAGCACCTGAGGGTAGAACAAGAAGTAGCAGGTGGAAGATCATTAAAGAGAGAAGCAACCTAGAACTCAGAAGAAATTTCCTGACAGTGAGAACAATTAACCAGTGGAACGGCTCCCCTCCAGAAATTCTTGTTGCTCCAACACTGGATATTTGTCCAGAATGGTATAGGATTTCCTTCTTGAGCAGAGGGTTGGAATAGAAGACTTCCAAGGTCTTCCCTTCCAATACTATTACTCTGTGTTTTATGTCTGTTTTGATTAGAATTTCCCACCATCTTACAAACTTATTGCAAACAGCAACATCATTTAGTGCTTGGGGAGAGCTAATTAATTGCAAATTAGACAAAGTTGACTATATTGGCTGAAAATTCTGAGAACTAATGGAGATCTCAGATTGGAGAAGGCTAATCTAGTTGTTGAAGTGAGAATGTTTGAGAAAGCCAACCTTTTACAAACACAAAGAGGGCCTGAATTCACCCTAGGTTTTCTGTAAGATCAAAGCACAGTTATTAAGTTTCCCATTTCTTGGCTTTAAAGAAAAAAATAATCTGCATTTGAAGATGTATATAAAAAAATGGAGAATTGCCTATTGGGAGAAAAATTAGCAAATATATATTTAAATACAGATTTGAAGATACAGATTTTTTTTTTTTTAAGGAATTGCACATTACTAGAGAAGTGAGACAGAATGCTTTCAGCTGAATGGCTGTAAAAGTGACAGAACACTTTCCTACTCCTGCTTTGAGGGTAGAGATGCTCAACTCCCTGCAGTGCTGCTTGTCTTCCGTTGCTAGTTTGTACCATTCTCCCTTAGCAAATAATGTCTGCTTGGGGAATCTCTACCAATTATCAGGCTTGTTGGTAGCTAAATTGTGTGGAAAAGCTGATTTGGGAACAGTGTCCAGCAAAAACCATTCATCTAGTAGACTTGGAACCTGATGAGATTTTCAGAGCCTGGTTACAGAGAAGCTACACGCAGGGCATGATTATTTTTCATAAATTTGGCCTCTAAGACACTCATGTAAATGAATTTTAATGGCTTTATAATAATGTGCACTGAACAACTTATTTTTTATTTACTCAGTTTCTATCTTGACTGTCTAAACTGAACACTTAATCGAGTTCTGTCTATGATCTTTCCTACTTCTGCCTCTCGTTGGGCTAAGTGGATCCTAAGGAGCCTTATTTCACCCTTAGCTGTACCAATGTTATAAAGTCATCGTCTTGTTATTAGGTTTATGACCGAGCTTTATTTTTGTGCCATACATAAATGTCATGATCCCACCTTGGTAAGGCCACATATGGAATATTGCATACAGTTCTCATCACCACAATAGAAAAAGGATGTTGAAACCCTAGAACAAGGGTCTTCAAACTTGGCCCTTTTATGACTTGTGGACTTTAACTCCCAGAATTCCTCAGCCAGGCATGCTGGCTGAGGAATTCTGGGAGTTGAAGTCCACAAGTCATAAAAGGGCCAAGTTTGAAGACCCCTGCCCTAGAAAGTCTGGAGGCTACATTGTATGATGAACGTTTGAGGGAGCTAGGTATGTCTAGTCTAGCAAAGAGAAGGTTTAGGGGTGATATGATAGCTGTCTTCCATTACTTGAGATGCTGTCACAGAGAAGATCTCCGAGGTCCCTTCCAGCCTTGTGATTCTATGTTCTATGTTCCACATTCTGTGTAAGGACAAATGCAATGTGAAAATGCTTAGGCACGATGTGGGGGAGTATGGTGTGCTTTAAACACACAAGGGGGGTGTCTCCACACATTGTTAGTAGGTTGGCCTTGTCATGTTTGTTCTGTCAGACCAGTTCTATCACTGTGCATGTTGATGCTAGGAGAATTTATCTGCAGTAAGATTTGTCCAAGATATATATATGGATATCTTGGAGAATCTTTTCTATCCAACAGAAAATTCCAGCATCAACAAACAAATCTGTTCTGCAGTTTCTTTGTAAAAGTGCTATAAGATATATTTGTTTTAATAAAAGCTGCAAGAAGTCTCTTGGTGAGATGGGACTGAATCAAAGGGCAAGGCAATTGCAAACATTACAATCCTTCACGTAGAGTTTGTTACCACATGAAAATTAAATCAGTGTGACAAATTCTGCATTCTGGATGGCAGTTGTATTTACTATGCCTTAACAGTACAGCAGTATTTTCAAAAAAAAATTATGGCCCAAATTAATTACGTGTGAATGACAATTCTGATTCAATTTAAAAAACCCCAACTTTGAATTATCTCCTATTCTTGAAGAAAAGGAGTCTTATATTTTCGCAGGAAATGAAAATTCAATTAAATTATGCAACAGAATCAGAGAAGAGGAAAAATTCAGAATATTTTCTTAAATAATATGCTGAATATCTGTTGGTGATGGAATTCAGCTTTTTACCATCGTCTTGATAGCTGAGTTCCCATGGCAATTAACTTGTAAGTAGCTTGGCAAGTTTTGAAAACTTGAAAACTTTACAGACCAGAATAAACCATGGCTTGTCATTTAGTGTATTCTGTGAATGCAACCAATTCTGATTTATTCAGTAAAGCAAGCTGGGCATCCCATGATCTTCAGGAGTCCATTTGTAGCCTTGCCCCTCCCCCCTCCAAACCTACATTGTAAAATAACAAAATTTTGGTAGTTTGATTGTGATCTGTCTTTCCAGGTTTTGGGTAGATATGAAGATGGACATGCAAACATTACACTCCTGGAAGATCCTTGATTATAATGAAAACACATCTAAACTAGGTCCTAAATAGAATACTGTTACTGCTTTTGTCTATCTAACCTTATTCTCAATTGTCATCCAAATCCTTATTTATCCATCACACTACGTTAGAGAAAAGTGAGCAACCTATTCTTGTCATGCCAATAAAGGAGACCATTTGTAGTTCATGGTTGAAATGAGGGGTCCTTGAAGCTTGGCTGTTTTCTTGCAGACATTTCATTACCCAAACTAGGTAACATCATCTATATTAAGTGATGATGTTACCTAGTTTGGCTAATGAAATGTCCGTGAGAAAACAAGCTCAGAGAGCGCCAAACACCCCCCCCCATTCTTGTCAAAAATATCAACTGAATTCAAAAGAGTGAATTTCATGGAGCATATGTATAACTATTAATGATAAGAGCAGCAAAACAAACATCTTTCCTGCTTTTACCATATTCATGGACACTGACAGCCAATTGTCAGCCTTATTTAGATGACCTGGTCCCTCCTAGATATAGAGGACTTGAGGAACATCTGCAGGACCTTCTCTCAGATAAAGTTTATTGGATCTTCTCTGGGCTGACACTAGACTATGTAGGTCCTGTGGACTTGATTGAGGCATGGTCTGACTTAGTTACCTAAGAATGCCACCAAGGTTATTTCAGTGACTGAATGGGAATCTGAATGAGGAAGAACAGACTAGCAAGACCAAACATTTGTGGATCGGGGGCTCACCATATCCAAAGATTGTTTATCTTTCGTTTTGAATGGAGCTGTACTCCCCCAGACAAAACTGATGCCCAGTTTGAGGGTCCTGTTGAATTCTCAGCTTTTGCTGGAAAAGTAGATAGTCCTGTGGGCAGGAGGGCCTTTGAACAAATTCATCTGTGTGTCAA